CAGCTGAGGGGGAAAAGGAAAGGGGGACTCCAACTCCCACCATTCCTAAGGGCCTCAGGCCCCTTCCTTTTCCCCCTCAGCCGCTGAGGGGGTAAAGGAAAGGGCCTGAGGCTGTGTCCTCACAACCTCTGAGGATGTTTGCCACAGATGCAAGTGAAACATCAGGAGAGAATGCTTCTAGAACATGGCCATATAGCCCAGAAAACCTACAACAACCTTACACTAAGTTTCTCCAAGTACCTACAATCTACATGTCAACAATGTCTTGATTTCCAAAAAAATGTCAACCTCACTATCTTTCTTTTAAGAAATACAACATTTCTTCTTTTCTGGAGGTGTGGTGAAGGTGATAGAAAGAATGCCCCCAGTTACTAAAATGATTCCAACCTTGTGAGCATATAGAGGTACAATATATTCTTTATAGGCATATCATTTCAATTTACAGCAGTGTTTCTCAACCTGAGAGATTGCAAGGGGGTTTCAGAGGGGTTGCCAAAGGCCATGAGAAAACATGTATTTCTGGTGGTCTTCGGAAACCCTTTGGCAGAGAAGGCTGAAGGTCTCTCCATCTGTCCTTCTCTTCATTTTTGGAAATATAAGGGGAATCCTCCCACCAAAAGCCCTCCTGCACCGTGATTGGCCATCCTCTCAGCCAAGGGGAGAGCTGTTTCTGAGACTCCATGTGGGGAGGGGAGAGCAGGTGTGCTCAGCGCATGGCAGCGTGGTATGCGCGTGTGGGCAAGGGAGAGTCAGAGATGTCACTGCCTTGGTTCTTTCATTATTGGCTGCTACCTCTAGGTGGATGTCAGGTGGTGCAATACTGGCTAAATAGTATGATTTCTCCAGTGGTGCAGGGCATAGACATCCTGTGATAGTGCAACATGTCTCATTAAGAGCCACATCCATTGTTTTAATGTGGTGAGATGTCTTCCAGCAGAGTAGCAAAGAACAAGGACAAATGTCTTCACTGTGTCTGGTTGTGATCCCCAGGTTGTGCCAGTCATCTTTCAAATGATATTGATTCTAGCACCTACTTTTTGATTGATTTTCAAGCAGTGCTTCTTGTAGGTCAGAGCATGGTCCAGGGTAACTCCCAGGTATTTGAGTGTGCTTCAGTGCTTCAATTGGATTCCTTCCCAGGTAATCCTCAAAGCTCGAGATGCTTGTCTGTTCTTAAGATGAAAATCACATATCTGTGTTTTAGATGGATTAGGGATCAGCTGGTTTCCCCTGTAAGAGGCAGTAAGAGCACCTAAAGTTTCTGAGAGCTTATGTTCAACCATTTCAAAGCTCTCTACTTGTGTGGTGATGGCACAATCATCAGCATAGATGAAACTCTCCATCCCTTCTGGCAGTGACTGATCATTTGTGTAAATGTTGAACATGCATGCGAGTAATCACGCTCTCCTGAAGGAGGCCTTTTTATGTTTCCGCCATCTGCTTCTCTGGCGCTGGAACTCAACAAAAAAGCTCCTGTTTTGTAGCAGGTTTCCTATGAAGCGGGTGAGGTGGCGGTCTTTTGTGATATTGTAAGTTTTCTTGGGAGAAAACAATAATTTACAGTGTCATAAGTTGCTGACAGGGCTATGACAACAGCGCCTGTAATCTGCTGAATCCCATACTAATTGACCATGGATAACTGAAACCAAAGAATGTGAACCCACAGATAAGGGGGGGGGGGTGTATAAATAATATTTGTGGATCTCCGTTGACCACAAGTAACTGAAACTGTCTGAAAAAAACTTGTAGATAAGGAGGGGCTACCATAATTTGAAAGAGACTGTGCAATATATTTCTGTAAGATTGTCAAATTATACGAGAGTTGAATGAAAAGTAACTCCTCCACCTTCGTAACTCCTCAACAGATGGTAGTACTGGTATGTGGCAGGTACTGGCTTGTTCAGTAGACTCTCCTCTACATTTCTATTTTGGCAGGAAGCCGTAGCATTGAATGGTTGTGTTGATGTGAGTACTGTGTGTAGTTAGGTGAGAAAGTTTAAGGATGTTGATGTGACACCTTCCACTGTCAAGAATTCAATGACTGCATGTTGCTTAAGTCTCATTGACTGACTGTCTGCACAGGATTCCATACTTCGCACTTTAACAACACAACTGTTCAATGCTAAGGCTTCCCACCAAAATGGAACTGTAGAGGAGAGTCTACTGAACAAGCCAGTACCTGCTGCATACCAGTACTGCTATCTGTTGAGGAGTTACGAAGGTGGAGGCATTAATTTTCATTCAACCCTTGTTTAAAACAGTACCCAATAGACTCCAGAAACTCGGTGAAGCTGTGTGATATCCTTGTGGGTTTTTTTGTGTGAGGCAATTAGATTTTATAGGGTCCCATCAAATAGATTTCCAAAACACTGAGGTTGCATGTTATTGGGAGTGTTTATTGTAGAATGTGTGTGCACATGCGTCTGCAAGAGCATTTTTGTATGTACATATACTACGTGCAAAAGCCTGTCTTTGAAAATAAATGTGCCTGTGGCTCCTCACCCCAAATACACGTGCCTGTGCGAAGATGGGATTTCCAGCAAAGTTCAAACAGCCAACATGCCCTCAGGGGCCACAGTTACCCCAGCTTTTGTTTCTTTACATCTTGTTGGACTTCAACGCATAGAATCCTTAGCTGTTGGGTGTTTGGGGAGTTGGAATTCAAAATAGTTGGAGGAGAAAACATGGCCAAGCAGTGTTCTGGGGCACCCTTACTCATAGTGGTTTCAGCATGCCATACATGCTGAACCATTGAGTTCTGAGCTCCTACATCATAGATTTATAGAGTCAGAAGGGAAACCTACATCTCTACTGGTGTGCCAATAGTCCTTATTGGCACACCAGTAGAGACGTAGTTTCTTTCCCTTGGTATATGTCAACATGTTGTAGGACATGGAGGTTGGATCCATCTCCCTGCACACTGAGCAGCTACAAGGGTCTACTTAAAGTTGTTCTGTTTATTCAGGAACAAATAGTATGATCTTGGGCTCACTGCAACAAACATGCAGTGATTGAAGAGAGAGCGGTATATGGACACTCGATAGCAGGTATGGACAAGCCCAGGCCCAGTGGCCGGATGTGGCCCCTTGGGCTCTTTTCTCAGGCCCTCCTCTATCTCACCATCCTATCCTTCCTTCCACCTTCCCTCCCTTCCCTTCCCTTCCATGCTTTTGCTCACAGCGTTTGGAAAGGCCTCCTGATCTTCATGCCCTCTTAAGGACTAATTCCGTTACTACCGCCAGACATCGTCAACCTACTATTCACGTAAAGCCTTGTCCTGTACTGCTCCTTTCTCCATCCCTCCTCTGCGTCCTCTTTCTCATCATTCAGTCCTTCTGTCTTTCCTTCCGTCTTCATTCCTCCTCCCAGCACGTCCTCAACGCCATGCCAGCCTCTCTTGCTCCCTCGCCTGGTCTTTGTGGTCCGCCTCCCTCCCCTCCTTCCCTCCCTCCCTCGCTCTTTCTCCTTCCTTCCCTTCTGTCTTCTCTTTCTTTCCTCCCTTCTTTCTCCCTCTTTCTCCCTCCCTCCCTCCATCCTCCATCCTTTCATCTTCCTTCCATCTCTTTTTCCTTCCCTCCTTCCTCTCTCCCCCTTCCTTTCCTTTTCTTCCTTCCATTTCTCTTTCCTCCCTCTTTCCCCTCTATTCCGTTGCATCCTTTTGTCTTTCCCCCCTCCCTCCATCCATCCCTCTCTCCCTCTTTCTCCCTCCCTCCATTCCCTTCCATTCTTTCGTCCTTCCTTCTCTTGTTCCTTCTTCCCTTCCTTCCACCCTTCCTTCCTATCCATCCTTCCCTTTTGTTCCTTCCTTCTCTTTCCTCTCCTTCCTCTCCCTCCCTCTCTCCTTCCCTTCCATCCTTCTTCCTTCCTCCTTCTCTTTTTCCTTCCTCCTTCCCCTCCCTCCCTCCCTTCCCTTTTGTCTTTCCTTCCTACTCTCTTTCCTTCCTCCTTTACTCCCTCCCTCTCTTACTTACCTCCCACTTTCTGCTTCGATCCTTCCCTTCTACTCTTTTGTCCATCCTTCATTCTCTCTTTCCTTCCTCCTTTCCTTCCTTCCTTTCCCAAGCAGCCAGTTCTCTTGGCAGAGAGTGCTAGCATGCATCCCCCAAGTTAGAAAGTTTGCCCTTGCCTGCTCTATAGGTCGCAATGCTTACAATGGGGAGGACATTGCACAAGAAGGTAATACAGATCCACTTCCAAAAGCATGCAAGCTTAACCCCTTATTTGCCTGCATTTGTCAGCATCAGGATGCTGGCTTCTAGAATCATAGAATCCTAGAGTTGGAAGAGACCTCATGAGCCATCCAGTCCAACCCCATTTTGCCAAGAAGCAGGAAACTTGCATTCAAAGCACCCCTGACAGATGGCCAACCAACCTCTGTTTCAAAGCCTCCAAAGAAGGAATCTCCACCACACTCCAGCAGTGGAACTCTCTGCCCCAAACAGCTCTCACAGTCATAGAATCAATAGAATCCTAGAGTTGGAAAATATCTTATGGGCCATCCAGTCCAACCCCATTCTGCCAAGAAGCAGGAAAATTGCATTCAAAGCACCCCTGACAGATGGCCAACCAGCCTCTATTTCAAAGCCTTCAAAGAAGGAGCCTCCACTTCACTCTGGGGCAGAGAGTTCCACTTCTGAACGTCTCTCACAGTCAGGAAGTTCTTCCTCATGTTCAGATGGAATCTCCTTTCCTAGGCAATTGCCTTTTGGGGAATAGAAAGCACCCGGAGATGAATAGGAATGGGGCAGAGTAGTTGTGTCATGATGCCACAACCTCTGGATTCCAGATGTTGGCTCTGGGCACCAATTTCAGTTTATTTGTACCTGCTAAAGCTGCAAAAAAAATGGTTGAGCCTTTAGCCACAGGCCGGTACATGGGATGGGGAGCACCAAGCACACCGAACCCCACAACCTTCTGTGCGGTGAAAGTCCTGCCTCTCCGAACTCTCCCAGGCTTTGTCCATCTTGTGTCTTGTAACTCATGTCTGTCTGTCTCTTTAGAATGACTCCTGGGGGAAGCAGTATTCCTATGCCCTGTTCAAGGCCATGAGCCACATGCTGTGCATCGGCTACGGACAGCAAGCCCCCAAGGGCATGTCCGACGTATGGCTCACCATGCTGAGCATGATCGTGGGGGCCACCTGCTATGCCATGTTCATCGGCCATGCCACGGCCCTCATCCAGTCCCTGGACTCCTCACGCCGACAGTATCAGGAGAAGGTAAGTTGTTTACTTTCAGGAGAGTGGGGGGATGCCATAGGCACCCTGACCTAAAATTGGGGGGTTACGTTGTGGCCCCCTCTAATTTTGTGGAGCACACAAGCTATTTTGTCTCTCTAATGCCATGGGGCTGAAATTTTTTGGAAGTGCCAATTGGCCCAGGTACCTTCGTCAATATTTCTGCAGGGAAAGGGAATTACTTCTGGGTTGCTGTGAGTTTTCTGGGCTGTCTGGCCATGTTCCAGAAGCATTCTCTCCTGACGTTTCGCCCACATCTATGGCAGGCATCCTCAGAGGTTGTGAAGTCTGTTGGAAACTAGGAAAATGGGGTTTATATATCTGTGGAATGATGTCCAGGGTGGGAGAAAGAACTCTTGTCCGCTTGAGGCAAGTGTGAATGTTGCCACTGGCCACCTTCATTAGCATTGAATGGCCTTGCAGCTTCAAAGTCCGGCTGTAATTGAAGTGTGTATATCTGTAGAATGATGTCCAGGGTGGGAGAAAGAACTCTTGTCTGAATGTTGCCATTGGCCACCTTCATTAGCATTGAATGGCCTTGCAGCTTCAAAGTCTGGCTGCAAGTGAAGTTTATATATCTGTGGAATGATGTCCAGGGTGGGAGAAAGAACTCTTGTCTGCTTGAGTCAAGTGTGAATGTTGCCACTGGCCACCTTGATTACCACTGAATGGCCTTGCAGCTTCAAAGTCTGGCTGCAAGTGAAGTTTATATATCAGTGGAAGGATGTCCAGGGTGGGAGAAAGAACTCTTGTCCACTTGAGGCAAGTGTGAATGTTGCCATTGACCACCTTGATTTGCATTAAATGGCCTTGTAACTTCCAGGCCTGCCTGGTTGCTGCCTGGGACAATCCTTTGTTGGGAGGTGTTAGCTGGCCCTGATTGGTTCTTGTCTGGAATCCCCCTGTTGTCCCCAGGCATTGGCCAGCCAGGCAATTAAATGTTGCAATTGTCTACCTTGATTAGGATTGAATAGACTTGCAGCTTCAAGGCCTGGCTAGTTGCTGTCTGGGAGGAGCCTTTGTTGGGAGGTGTTAGCTGGGCCAGATTGTGACATTTTGCCCACATCTATGGCAGGCATCCTCAGAGGTTGTGAGTCTGTTAGAAACTAGGAAAATGGGGTTTATATATCTGTGGAATGATGTCTGGGTGGGAGGAAGAACTCTTGTCTGTCTTGAGGCAAGTGTGGATGTTGCAGTTGGCCATCTTGATTATAAATGGAGCTTATATATCTGTGGAATGTCCAGCGTGGAACAATTTCAACATAAAGGAAAATACCATGAAAATGAACACAATCTGGCTACCAGTATTTTTAAAAATACTCTAAAATCAGGACAGTAAATAAAGAGCAACACTCAGCAGCCAGAATCAATCAGGGTCAGCTAACACCTCCCAACAAAGCAGTGTTTCTCAGTCTGGGGGTCAGGACCCCTGGGGATTGTGAGGGGGTGTCAGAGGGGTTACCAAAGACCAAGAGAAAATGCAATATTTTCTGTTAGTAATTGAGGTTCTGTGTGGGAAGTTTGGCCCAATTCTATCATTGGTGGGGTTCAGAATGCTCTTTGATTGTAGGTGAACTATAAATCCCAGCAACTACAACTCACATATGTCAAGATCTATTTTCCCCAAACTCCACCAGTGTTCACATTTGAGCATATTGAGGATTTGTGCCACGTTTTGTCCAGATCTATCATTGTTTGAGTCCATAGTGGTCTCTGGATGAAGGTGAACTACAACTCCCAAACTCAAGGTCAATGCCCACCAAACCCTTCCAGTATTTTCTGTTGGTCATGGGAGTTCTATGTGCCAAGTTTGGCTCAATTCCATCATTGGTGGGGTTCAGAATGCTCCTTGATTGTAGCTGAACTATAAATCCCAGCAACTACAATTCGCATATGTCAAGATCTATTTTCCCCAAAGTCCATCAGTGTTCACATTTGAGCATATTGAGGATTTGTGCCAAGTTTGTCCCAGATCCATCATAGTTTGAGTCCACAGTGCTCTCTGGATGAAGGTGAACTACAACTCCAAAACTCAAGGTCAATGCCCACCAAACCCTTCCAGTATTTTCTCTTCGTCATGGGAGTTCTGTGTGCCAAGTTTGGTTCAATTCCATCGTTGGTGGGGTTCAGAATGCTCTTTGATTGTAGGTGAACTATAAATCCCAGCAACTACAACTCCCAAATGACAAAATCAATCCTCCCTGTCCCTGCAATAGAATCATAGAGTTGGAAGAGACTTCATGGGCCATCCAGTCCAACCTCCTGCCAAGAAGCAGGTAAACTTGCATTCAAAGCATCCCTGACAGATGGCCATCCAGCCTCTGTTTAAAAGCTTCCAAAGAAGGAGCCTCTACCACACTCCGTGGCAGAGAGTTCCACTGCTGAACAGCTCTCACAGTCAGGAAGTTCTTCCTCGTGTTCAGCAGAAAACAAGCTTGCTCCCTCCTCCCTAGGACTTCCTCTCATATACTTATACATGACCATCATGTTTCCTCTCAGTCTTTTCTACTGAAGGCTAAACATGCCCAGCTCTTTAAGCTCTAACCCTCTCATAGAATCATAGAATCAAAGAGTTGGAAGAGACTCATGGGCCATCCAGTCCAACCCTTCTGCCAAGAAGCAGGAATATTGCATTCAAATCACCCCTGACAGATGCCCATCCAGCCTATGGGGCCAGAGAAGAACAAGCTGACCCCCAGTAGGGAAGACTCCTATTTCTTCAGGAGCGTTGCAAATCCAAGGCTACCTGGATTGTGTAAGGAGATACATGCGACCTCCTTGTGCAATATTCTCCCATACATCTTCCTGCATAACCAAGTGTTAACACCAGCAAATGTCACTGGTGGGATTCCAGCCGTTATGTAATTTTTCCAGAAAATTAACCACGTTGTTCTTTTTCTTTGGAAAAGGTGCCATTTCCGAAAACACATTCTTCTTGTAGACTGAAAAATAATAGCAGCGGCAAACCCAACGCTGGTCCAGTGGGGCCGCTTCAAACTAATTAAATCAAATCCCGGCGGATTTCAGTGCTTTGGAATATATTTTTGGAAATCTTTTGGAGGCTAAAGATCAGAGAGACTGACTGCAAAATGCTTTTTGTGGGCGTCTCTAAGCAGCCGGTGTATTTACCAGCTTTCCAATGCAAAACAGTCATGAATAAGCAAAACTCGCTGCTTTTTTTTTAATTTGGGGCCTCAAAGGAAGCTTACCAGGCATCATGGCAAAGGTCCAATATATGGAATCCAACCCTGGAAAAACTGAAATTTCTGCAGCCTTCCATCTCCCAAAAAAGATATTTAAGGGACATCAGAGTTGGGTGGGAATCCCAGGGGGGGAAGATGGACCTCCAACCCTGGCATTAGCATTGGGATCCAGCAAAAGGGCACCATCATTTCTTGGGTTATTTTTGCAAATATAATAATAATAATAGAAATAATAATAATTTGCTGTGCTTTTGTGTCAGTCAAATAATAATAATAATAATAATAATAATAATAATAATTTTATTTTGTACCCACCTCTCCTTGTGGCTCGAGGCAGGTTACAGAAGAATTAAAACATATAAACATTGCAAGTAAAGCTAAAGCTAAAGGTAAAGGTTTCCCCTGACATTAAGTCCAGGCGTGTCCAACCCTGGGGAGTGGTGCTCATCTCCATTTCTAGAGGCGCCGTTGTCCATGGACGCCTTCCAGCCAGCATGACTGCTTGGAGTGCCATTACCTTCCCACCAGAGTGGTACCTATTGATCTATTCACATTTGCATGTTTTCGAACTGCTAGGTTGGCAGAAGCTGGGGCTCACAGCAGGAGCTCACCCAGCTCCCCAGATTTGAACTGGTGACCTTTTGGTCAGCAAGTTCAGCAGCTCAGCGGTTTAACCTGCTGTGCCACTAGAGCTCCTGATCAGGAAGTAACTTTTAGAAAATGAAATAATCGAAGAGCTGGTGTTGTAGAGAAGACAATGATGCTGGGGAAAAGGGAAGGAAAAAGGAAGAGGGGCTGACCAAGGGCAAGATGGATGGATGGATGGCATCCTTGAAATGACTGGATTGACCTCGAAGGAGCTGGGGGTGGTGGTGGCTGACAGGGAGCTCTGGCGTGGGGTGGTCCAGGAGTTTGCCTAGAGAAAACAATGATGCTGGAGAAAATGGAAGGAAAAAGGAAGAGGAACCGGCCAAGGGCAAGATGGATGGATGGCATCCTTGAAGTGACTGAATTGACCTTGAAGGAGCTGGGGGTGGTGACGGCTGACAGGGAGCTCTGGCATGGACTGGTCCAGGAGTTCACCTAGAGAAGATGATGATGCTGGGGAAAATGGAAGGCAAAAGGAAGAGGGGCTGACCAAGGGCAAGATGGATGGATGGCATCCTTGAAGGGACTGGACTGACCTTGAAGGAGCTGGGGGTGGTGACGGCTGACAGGGAGCTCTGGCATGGGCTGGTCCATGAGGTCACGAAGAGTCGGAGACGACTGAACGAATGAACAACAACAATTTACAAAAGCACGGGGATTGTGGCGCAGCTGGCTGAGTGTCAGCTGCATTAAGATCACTCTGACCAAAAGGTCATGAGTTCGAAGCCAGCCCGGGTTGGAGTGGGTTTCCAACCATTGTGTAGCCTGTTGTCGACCTTTGCAACCTGAAAGACAGTTGCATCTGTCAAGTAGGAAAATAAGGTACCACCTTAAAAGTGTGGGGAGGCTAAAATTAACTAATTTATGAGGCCATAAAGAAGAACTCCAGCGGGGAAGCATGCGAGGAGAAATGCGGAAGGTACTTCATCAGCGTCGCAGATGGACGATGAAAGCGACAGCTCCCTGGCGGCCAGAAAAAGTTAAATAGCCTCTGTGTATGTCTGTATATGTTTGTATGTCAAAATTGGCATTGAATGTTTGCCATATATGTGTACACTGTAATCCGCCCTGAGTCCCCTGCGGGGTGAGAAGGGCGGAATATAAAAGCTGTAAATAAATAAATAATAATAA